GTTTACAAGATATAGCCTCCCAAAGTTGGGTGGTTTTGGGTGGTGTTTGTGTGTTATAGATGTATGTTAGGTGGTATTTACATACAAACACCATATAAGTGTTGTTTGATAAAAGAATCACCCTGTATATATATATATATATAGTTACATAATATAATAATATTAATAACTACCTCTGTGTATTTAATCGGTGGGTTGATTATCGGTTTAGGGACACTGCTGGCGAAATACCTTTGCACCACCGGCAGCGAGGACCCGGAAATCTTGTTCATCAACCGAAACATGTTTGCCTGGTGTGGATATAATAATCGAACTGAAAAAAACAGGCACCGTCGTTTTTGTTTCTTGAGAAAGAATTTTRAGATTCGGGTTATTTTGCCGGTTGAATGCGCTGACGCGTTGGCGTTATTCACAGTAATAAAATCAAGTTTCCGCTTTACTCTCTGACCGATTGACTACTGGGCACCGACAGTCTAAGAGTCTAACTAACAATTAACAATTAAACACTTCATAGAGATCGAACACAGACAAGTGACAAGTGAAGTGTTAGAGCTTCGAGTGTTTCGACTGAATTAGTGAATTGAATTGAGTTTAGACAACGGGCAAAGTGTCAAAGTGCAGCCTGCAGCAGTACTCACTCCGGCAGTTAGGCTAGAACAGAACTACAGAACCGTTCGCTAATCAGTAATCTAAATAGTGCAGTAGTGTTTACTGTTCATTGTTCAAGGTCGAAGGACCGGGACTCGAATACAGTCACAAACAGACGTGTTGTTATATTGTTCTAAGGTAATAGCATGACCATGGTCGAGATGACGCAGTATCACCAAAAACATATGACTGAGGCGGACCATAAACATGTTTATCCGTGATAAGCGATGTTGACGACGTGCATTACAATAGATAACATATTATGCGCGTTATCTGTGATAAGCGAGGATAAGTTTCAAGAAAGCTGCAAGCTGCAAGTTCATGTCTACTATCTACTGCAGACGCGTAGGAAACGGGCCTGACTAATTTTACCATATTTTTTATTGATATTATGAACAGAAAYGCCATTGGCATTACGTGATTAACAGACAACGAACACGTTCCAGATAGACGGTCATTAATATGGGCATATTCGGTAAATCAGCCACTGTCGATCCTAAGGATCAGGTGAGTAATCTGAGTTGGTCGATGGTTTAAACTGGTCTTATTAACCTGTGAGTTTTTTTTTCGCTACTGTGCCTAAGGTCAAACAGTGGACGTCGACCATACGCAAAGAGACGTATAAACTGGACCGACAGATAAGAGGTAAGTGTTATAGCATTGTGTTACATCTTTACACGTATAGGTACAATTATACAACTGAATTGTATTATTTTTTTAATAACTATAAAATTACATTACCGGTACAAATTTTATCGTTTTAATAAAAGAAAATATTGGTTGGGGGTTTGATATGGTCTCTTTGTGACACAGGCATACAGCGAGAAGAAGAAAAAGTTAAACGTTCAATGAAAGAAGCAGCTAAGAAGGGAAACAAAGATGTGTGCATCATTCTAGCGAAAGAAATACTGAGGTCACGCAAAACCATCAATAAATTGATTACTTCTAAGACACATATGAGTTCTATACAAATGCAAATGAAAAACCAGCTGTGTAATTTAATAATATACTATAWTATATTCAAAGTCGCATACTATAATGTATATTTAACYGTTTATTTTAGCTGTACTAAGAATGGCTGGTTCATTGCAAAAGTCTACAGAAGTAATGCAAACAATGCATAATTTGATCAAAGTACCTGAAGTTGCAGCTACTATGAGAGATTTATCCAAAGAAATGATGAAGGTTAGTCTAGTCTCTGGTATTAAAATTTGGTCAACCCATGTGGCCATATGAATTTTTAATTTTGATTTTAGGCTGGAATCATTGAAGAAATGTTAGATGATACAATGGAGAATGTAATGGATGATCCCGAAGATATGGAAGAAGAAGCACAATCAGAAATTGATAAAGTGCATTTAAATATAATTAAATTAAACTAATATTATTTGAATTAATAAATTGTATATTTTTAGGTATTATGGGAAATCACAGCTGGAGCGTTAGGTCAAGCACCTATGGCAGTTACTGAAACACCGGGAGGTTCAGTACTACAAGAAACTGAAACAGTTGAAGAGGATGGGGACCTGGAAGAAATGAAAAATCGCTTACAGGCTTTAAAAAGTTAAATAAAGGTATTACAAAGCTGCTAAATTTATACAATTTTGAATTTAGTTTGTCCTTTAACAGAATTTAATATAAATAATAAATTCAAATAGTTTAAGTTAAGAAWAAAACTATTGACTTTACTAGGAAAATTGGAACACTAATGATTTATTTTTTATATTTGATCAATTGCAAATGTGTTAAGATTCTATATATTTTTATCAAATAATGTATTGAAGATGATAACTTGACTTAGTGAGACTAAAATTTAGATGTTTGTGTTTTGCACCAGATATTTTTTTTTTGTCTAACTTCAATTGAGGTATTGTTGAGATTTATGCTCTTATGATAAAAGTCATATTATGTGAGATTTTTATTTGTTTTGTTGAGTTCTATAAAATTAATTTTAATCATTAAATTGGATAATGATTCATGTTAAATTGTAGTAAAAACTACATCTGATCTCTTGCTCTACACCTTAATTAAATATTATATTATTTATATAATATTATATTCAAATTTAATATTTTATGTTTTAATTAACAATTTAACTTGAATCCCCTAAGATAATAATAGAATATATTATTGTATTATTTATTTTTTTATTGTTACTTACTTATGTGACCTATATTTATATTTACTTCATGCTTCTGTCTAAAAATTAATTTTAACTTCTAATTATTATTTTTAAATTTAAAACATTTAATTCTATGCTTATTTCAAAATGATGATAATAATATTGCATTTAAAACATCTTTCTTCTGTTTAATGCACTTTATTAGTGTGCACTCAATGGATTATTAACATATAATTTATTGGTACCAATATTATT